GGCAGACAGGAGGTGGAGGGCAGACAGGAAGTGGAGGGCAGACAGGAAGTGGAGGGCAGAGAAAAGGTGGAGGGCAGACAGGAAGTGGAGGGCAGACGGGAAGTGGAGGGAAGACGGGAAGTGAGGCATAACTATACAACCTCAGGAAAAATCTCCAGTGACTTACTTCCGCCAGGGGGGCTCCAGCTCTTCAGGGTTACAGTCTTCCACAACAGTGCCCCCAGTCAGGGCCAAGTGTCCAACACATGAGAAAATTGGGTGTTTCACATTCAAACCACAGCAGAGGTCTGAAAAATGATTTCATTAAAGCTTCGTGTGGCATACCATAATGCTCAACAATGACAACAGGAAGATAATTTGGAGTGGAAAGGTGTTTAGACAGGTATACATGATATGTTTATAGATAGTTCATGGGTTGTCTATCCAGAAAGACAATTGACATTCCCTTATATTTCCTTCTAACATTTATTATTATATAGTAGTATACGTTTATTAGTGTATGGTATATATACATTATAGAATATATTTATTAGTATATAATATGCAATGATATATCTGATATATTATTATATGAAGCAAATATTGTTTGCTTTTAGTATAAATGTAAGTGCCCTGTATGTAGTATAATCTATCTTGCTTTTATGTTTAATATTATAAAACATAGTTTCCATGTTTGTACAATCCTTATAACTTTAGAAAGACACAGCATAGTGGATGTGACTATACATAATTCTTATAACTCATATGTTTTAGCTTGGTATTAGAGGTCTTTTCTTCCCTTTGTTTGCTGCTATAACTAATGGCTCATAATGTTCAGGATTATTTTCTTAGGCTTCATTCACAAAAGTGGAGTTCTTGAGAATAAGCACTTTGAGGCTCTTTGTCAAATTGCTTCCCAAAGGATTATGCCAGAATGCTGGCAGCATTGGAGCACACCCTTTCAGAGTTCCTTGTCGTCGGGGGAGACCATTAAAAAGAACCAACTTGTTAATTTTATAGGGGTCAAGTGCAGCTTCATGTGAGTTGCTGGTACTACTCTTTGATTACTAGTGAAGGAAAGCATTTCCCACACATTGGTTGATCAGCTGGAATCCCATGTCATATTACCCACACACATTCTTCATCAGTTTGTCTATGGGGCTTTAATATGTTAGCATGAAATATGATAGATCTCTTCATGCTAAGGGGTACTAGCACTTTGTCACTATGATATATCCCATGACACTTTCCCCAAATGGGATACTCGGTCTTTGTTTTTCTTCTATGTATTTATGTTGGATGAACAAGAACTTTAATTTTTCAGAAATAGGTTAATGCTTTTATTCTAAGTGGTAAGTTGTATCCACTCCAAGGATTATAAATACTTATTTCAATTTTCTTCTTGATTTCTTATATATTAATATTTATACTTTATTTTTAAATTCTTTCAGGATTGATCTTGGTGACTGCTTCTAGTGAGAATCTCAGTATGGGACTGGCATGGCTTGAGTCTCCAGTGTCTCATGCATTTCAATAGTTGGCTCCCAGAGGGTGGCAAAGGTATAGGAGACTGTGGATGTTTGTCGAGAAGGAGGCTAGCTAGAGGAGTTAGCTATGGAGTCAGGGCAGCAGCTATGGGACACAAGATTCTTCCATGGGAATAGTGCCACCCTGCAGGCATGATTTTCTACCTTGTGCCCTGTGACCCTTAAATCACGAACCAGAATCAAGCCTTCCTACTATACTTTGGTTCTTTTTAGGTGTTTGGCCACAGCTATGACAAAAAAAAAACCCTTTGTATAATAATTTGCATATTAATAAACACATCAAAGTTATATATTACATTAAATATACAACTTTCCCAGGTTAGTTAGTCTTTGCTCATTCATTTAAAATATTTCTTAAAGAATAAACAAAACAAAAAAAAAATAAAACAATGTTTCTTTTTCATACATTAAAGGAACCCCCAGACATACATTATAAATAGAAATGAACTAACATTGTATATATTTATATATAAATATTAGTATGTATTATATATAACAG